TTATATTTAAAGAACTAAGAGAGTTATCAGTGAACAATATATTAGTGTCATCTGCAAATAGTACAACCTTAGCCTGAGGTATAGCATGTGGCAAATCATTAATGAATAATAAAAACAACAGAGGACCCAAAACAGATCCCTGTGGAACACCATGTTTAATTTCCTTAAGTGACGAGATAAAGGACTTAGAATAACAGGATACATGGTCCTGGTGATAAATTTCTACATATTGGAATCTATTCGTTAGATACGAGGTCATCCACTCATGGATTTTTCCTCTAAGCCCATACAAGTCCAATTTAGTAAGTAACCGGTCATGGTTTATTACATCGAAGGCTTTTGTAAGATCTAAAAATATGCCCATGGCAAATCGTTTTGAATCTAATGTTGTCAAAATGTCCTCAAGAAAAGACTGGATAGCAGTATAGGTAGATTTATTAGCTCAGAAACCATTTTGGGCACTAGAAATCAAATTATATTTATTTAAAAAACTTATAACTCTATAACTCTATAAAAGTTCTTAAGATATTATTCCTTCACTCAGTAGCAGAAGCATACTGGTTTCATCGTACGTCATTACGGCAAGTAGTGTTGGTAGTTTGTTAATAGTGCTCCTCTGTTTCATTTCATTTTCCAGCTTTATAATCACCTGAGGAGATTTCAAAGCACTTTGGTGATTGCTGAACACAACAATGAGAAATTATTACCAATAACACAAAATGCAATAACAGCTGCGAAGAAACTTGGTGGAGATATATCTGTTCTTGTTGTTGGCATCGAATGTGGTTCTGTAAGTATTCACCATTTTCTGCTCTTCAGTGGTTTCAGATTAATGTTACAGCTTAATTCTTTTTGTCTGTTTTATATTCTGTTATTTTGCTTCAGCATCATGTTTAGGTTTTTGCTTGACAATGCTTTGACATCAGCAGTTCTTTTAATTGCACCACGTGTATGTACAGGGAGTGGGAAAAATAATGGAAACAATAAGAAACTGAGAAATAGAATTTGTTTGTTTGCTGGTGTCAGAGCATTAGTGACCATGTTGACTGACAGTCTGTGTGAAAGAATGGGAAAATTTGAGACTTATCCAATTTTGAAAGCGGACACAGATCATTAGTGTGCATTTAACTGAAGCATCTCTGACAGAAACTGTAACCGCTCACTTCCTTTGTGCCCTTTTCGTTGTGCGCCACTCCACCACCGCTCACTTCTTTGGGTTCTTTACTTTAATCAGTAGAGCTGGGTTCCTATCCCAGGGTCTTATAAGGGTCTGGCTCGGACAGGGCAGGAAGAACAATTCACTACAATCACCCACCTTTCGACGGTTGCACTTGGTAGTCCTTTAATACCTTCCGGCTCTCTGAATACACTGAATTTATTAATACTGTTGAATTGAACTGTACTTATACTATTTTACGGAAGGGCCGTAGTGGTAAATTTAGTTTCCGACTTTGCCGAAAGTAGTCTCAAGACTTACCGAGGTGGAATGCCCTCTCTCTGAATTCTGAGGTCCACGAACCCCAGACTCCAAGAGAAATCCACTCCTCCACTTCTGCCATTGGTTAATTCTTCAAACTAGGAGGTTCCCTAAATTTTGAATTCCCAATCATGTTGCTCTGCTATGTGATTCTGGCAGATGCTGACCTGACGCTAAGGATGACAGCCCCCTGATGCATTACAGTCAGGGTGTGAGGCTCCGGCCGTCCCACTTCTAAGTTATCGCTGTCCCAAGCTGTCAGCTCTCATTTTCTCAAAGCCTTTCCGACGTTGCTGAAACTGCCAGAATTCTAGGAAAGTACCAGATGTTACTTCCTGTTCACATAGCAAAACTTGAACTATGTCCCTTCTGCGTGTAAGAGCTGGCTATCTGCCGGATCTCTTTGTTTGTAATATTGTTAATCTTAACTTAATACAGATTTAATTTTCACACAACACTCCTCCAGTCAGAATGAACGGTTACAACACGCCACATTATTAGGTGTTTTGAGAGTGACAGTTTCTAAGGTTATGTCTGCTTACACGAATCATGGGAAGATGACATCAGCAAAGAGAAACAGTGGGTGAAAATAAACATTAACAGAAAGAGTTTGTCATACATTGAGAAGGATGGTTTGGAAAAATCACAGAACTACTGCCGTGACAGGTTACAGCAGAACTGAATATTCATCTTGAAGACCCTGTTGCCACGAAAACTGTCCAACATGAGCTTCTCAAATCCAGCATCCATGATAGGACTGCAATTCCTAAATCTCTGATTACTGAAAGTAATGCTCTTATGCGTGAATGATGGTGTCATGACCATAAAACCTCGGCATAAGACAACTGGAAACATGCTCATAATATGGCCAGATGAGTCATCCTCCACGCTGTTTCATATATCAAGAAGAGTTTATATTTGCTGAACACCCAAGGCAGTCTGGTTTGAACAGTGAAACATGGGGGAGGTTCTGTGATGGTTTGGTTAGCAATATCATGGTTCAGTATTCCGTTTGTCCCATTATTGCCGTTCATGTCTGAATTACTGCAAGGGTGTACATGGAGAGGTTGGGTAATCAGGTGCATCCCATGATCCAGACATTATTTCTGAACGACACAGTTTTCCAAGGTGCCAACACACCCTCTCACACATCTCGAACTCTTCAGTCATGGTTTAAAGAGCATGAAGGTGAACTTCATCTTCCCTGGCCAGCAAAATCACCAGATTTGAACATCATTGAACTACTCTGGTGAGTTTTGGAGACTAAAGTGAGGAACAGATTCGCATCTCCAACATCTGTATAGCAACTTCAAGATGTTATTCAAGAAGAATGGTATAAAATTCTGCTAGAGACTGTTCAGAACTTGTATGAGTCCATTCCAAGAAGGACTACATCTGAATTGAAGGCAACAGGTGGTCCAGCGCCATGTGTACAGTATCTTTAGTGTTTAGAGCTGTGCCATAGCTCAAGTGGTTAGTCTCTGGCTTCCCACTGCGGTAGTCAGGGTTTGATCCCGGGTCTAGTCAAGTGGGATTTGTGGTAGACAAAGTGGCCCTGGGGCAGGTTTTCTCCGAGTACTTTGGTTTCCCCTGCCGATCTTCATTCCACCAGTTGCTCCACAATCACCCTCACCTATCATCTGGGACTGGTACAATAGGCCAGAAGTGGCCGCAGTACAAGGGACTTAGTCCCACCCCACTAGCAATAAAAAAAATCTGTAGTGTTTCCATTATTTTGTCCAACCCCTGTATGTACATGCTGTAGAATTTAAATCTTTTATGTAGGCATGCCATCATAATTCTGAAATATGTAATAAAATAATCAACAATAAAAGCCAGCAATGAAGAGAACTGTTTTCTGGCATGTGATGCATGTAGTTCAGTGGATTTCTGCTGATTTTCCTCTGATATGTCAGTGAAGTTTTACAGAACTACATGCCAATGCATCCCAGAAGACAGTTCTCTTCACAAACACAATTGTGACAATATCAAATCAAACAAAAATAGCAAAGTAGTGTATGTCATGTGGATTATAATGGTATATAGTTCTGGAAGGAGGAAATTATTTCCTTCATCATCGGTGTCAAAGAGTAATCCAAACAAGAAACCAGCAGAAGCAGTCGGCAAGCCGTGAGAACCTTTGATCTAGTGTATTACAGTACAGTAAGTCCTTGCTTAACATTGTTTCATTGTTATGTTGATGCTGTTATTTTACCAATGTTTGACCCATCATCATGTTAACTTATATTTACAGGATGTCCCAGGAGGAATGGACCAAACTTCGGGAGGGTGTTCCTTATGTTAAAGTTAAAGTTAAAGTATGTTAGTATGGCACTAACTTCGCCAACAAATGGGAGTCACTCAGTCGGTATAGTTCGCTTGCGGACTCAAGCCATGGAGTTTGTTTTGTTTGTATATTTTTGAAGTTGGTTGAGGTTCAGTCATCAGCAGAAAGGGGGAACTTATCTGATGGGTCCATTGGGAAGAGCTAATGCGAGTCACAGATCCCGTGACAGTTCACATTGTAAATTGAACACCACTACCCTTTTAAAACAAATTCTAAATTCTGATATAGAAACGCCATTTATACTTGATCAGCACTGCAGGAGGATGTGTCGTCGGCCAAGATATGGTATTTGCTTCCTTAGCATCACAGCACATTAATCATGTTTGACAGTGAGATATTTTGCCAGTTACATTTCCTATTAGGCCATAAATAGTTGTGTTATTTAACTTCTGAAGAATGTTGCACAGAGGTATGAGAATGTTACAACTCAAGATGGTGGTTAGGAATTACTGATTGTTACATAATGTTGTTCATTTCTCATAAGATAAATTGCTTTTTATCCTGCAAGTCCCACATGACAAAATAAAAATCAAGGCTATATGTAATTTTTTATGCGCCGAAGTACGCTTGCCACACAATTTCAATTGCAGATTTGCCTTGTTCATAGAATTTCCTACTCAGATATAAGGAATCTTAATTTTTTTCAGGTTGCTGAACAGGTATCCAAGGCATCTGGCTTAGCACGTATATTAGTGGCTGAAAATGAAGCTTTTCATGGTTTCCTGCCGGAAAATTTGACACCATTGGTGCTGGCTACACACAAGCAGTTTAACTTTACACATATTTTGGCTGGAGCTACTGCTTTTACCAAATCACTTCTTCCTCGTGTTGCAGCCAAGTTGGATGTGTCTCCCATTTCAGATATCACAGGCATAAAGAGTCCAGACACATTTGTTAGAACAATTTATGCAGGTAAACATTTTCATTTGTTTGTTGTTGTTGTTCTCTGACAAGTTGATGGTACACACCTAGTGCAGCCTGAAGCTGTTGCTGATGCATTCGCTAAGCACTTAAAATCTGTTTACAATAACCACTGCTCTAAGGTCATTCACCCTCTCAATCTTCTGAATTTTTATCCCTTGCCCCCATTTCTGATGCCGATGTCTACAAAGCCATCAAGAGACTAAAACCATCAAAATCTGTTGAGCTTGATGGTATTCCTGGTTTTATCATCAAAGGATGTGCAGATATTTTTATTCCTATACTTAGGCATATATTTAACTTGAGCCTGATGCAGCAGTATTTTCCTGCTGCATGGAAAGAATATGCTGTTGTACCAGTATTTAAAAGAAGCAATCATGCCACTGTGAGCAACTAAAGGCCTATTTCTATTATCAGTAATTTCTCTAAATTGTTTGAATTCATTATTCATGATCATGCTTCTCATTTTGTTAAATTTAATTCCAACCAACATGGCTTTACCAGAACTAAATCTACAGTTACCAATTTGGTGACGTTTCTCAACTTCTTGATGCCTGTTGTCCGTGGTCAGCGTCAAGCTGATGCCGTCTATTTTGATCTTTCTAATGCTTTTGACCTCGTCCCTCATAATATGTTCTTGCATAAATTAAGCTCCTTTGGATTCTCTGATGCCAATGTTAGCTGGTTTCGCAGTTACTTAGCCAACAGACAATCTCGGGTTCGCGTTTCTGGCACTCTCTCCCTGCCTTTTCATGTAATGTCCAGTGNGTGCCGCAAGGCTCTGTTCTGGGGCCTTTTCTTTTCAATGTATTTATAAATGACCTATGTGACTCCGTTAACTACTGTAAATTTCTAATTTTTGCCAATGATCTAAAAATTCTCCGCATTATTAACTCTCCTCATGATTGCCTCTTACTTCAATCTGACATTAATTCCGTAAGTGACTGGTGCACTGTTAACTCCATGAAACTTAATATTGCTAAAACATGTGTTGTATCTTACACCAGAAAAACAAATTTTCTGAGCTACGAGTATCAGCTTTGTCATGCTATCATTACACGCACCAGCAGTATTAAGGACCTGGGTGTTTTCTTTGATTCAAAGTTACATTTTCACACACAGTTAATTACATGTTTTCTGAATGCATAAAGCTTTTAGGCCTCATTCGCTCCATTACCTACAGGTTTTCCTCCCTGGAGAGTCTGTATATACTATATTTTACTTTAGTCAGGTCCAAGTTGGAATATGCCTCAGTAGTTTGGAACTCCATCACCTCGACTGATGCCAATAAGCTTGAGCGCATCCAGCAGAAGTTTGCGTCCGTCTGTTTTTATCGTTTTTTCCCTCATATTTCATATAATTATGCTGATG